TTGGGCCAAACATGTTGTGACCCAGCAGAGACATTTGAAACGCAAAGCATCTTCAGTGCCCGGCAAACTGCAGATGAACTGTTCGACAGCATCTGCTTCGTAGGTCGCAGAGTTGGCCAACAGCTGCGGGCTGCATATTGGGAGGGCCGTGGTTCTGCTAGCCTCCATGAGGGAAGGCTTGAGACATGGGCGCGTGACTTAGCTACTGAGCGGCTTGGTGAGTAGAAAAAGAAGCATGTCGCATTGTGGGATGTGTTCACACCCATTCGAGCACGCTGCTACGACCTGCAAGGCTTGACCTTGAGGTACCGAGCACCATGCTTGCCTGCCCCCTCTAGTACTTTAACCTGCTGAGGGACAGGCTGGATTGAGCATTTGAGCATTTGAGCATATATGTATGTATATATATATATGCATGCCAGAAATCGAGCTTTGATGCTTCTCAAATCGAGCCTTTACGCACTCAGCATCAATCTCTACATGTCGCGTTTCATGTTCAGAGAAACCAGAAAGCTGTGTCAGGACACGATAGCTTCAATAGATCGTGCTTGATTCAAGTCAATGTTTTCAATAGCTGGGGCAACTCGCTTTTGCTCTTGCGAAAAAAAAAGCAAATTCCGGATGCACCCTCTTTTCAGTCCCGATGTCGAACACTTCACTGCAGGCAGTCTTCGCCCTCTGTCTGCGGCAAAGAGCGTTAGCGCATCGAAGATGTTTTCTGCCAGCATGTCCTTTGCCAGGCCTTGTCGGGTTTTTGGAGGGTTCGACTGGCATTTCCCAAAGGCCCTTGAAGCCCTTGCCCTCCCACATCCCCGAGCAGGCAACCTTGTTCTTTTACAGGGTACTCATATCTACTTGCAGCGAGTCCAGCAATGCCCATCTCCAAGCTGTCCACGCGGTGTGGAGTGAGATTCGAAAGTACATTCGTTTTGGCATCCTGGCAGGTCCGCTTCGATTCGCGAGGATGGTGATCGCAAATGCTGTGTCAGCCTGAGACATCCAGTTCCTTCCATCCATACTCTTCTGGCGCATGCTACTGCAAGCCCAGACTTGAAGCCTTTTATCAGGAGTATATGAAATCCGATGCAAACTGCAAGGTGCTTGCTGCAGGAGGCTTCCTGCTAAGGAGGAGGAGGATGAGGAGGAGGAAAAGCAGGACGCGGCAATGGCAGCCGCAAAGCAGCCGCAAGCTTACATGGCCAAGCGGCTTTCAGTTGACGGAACCAGTTTGGTATAGCGTGCACTTGTTGTGTGATGAGGCCCGAGGAGAGCAAGGAACAGGCAAAGCGGGCAACAGTCCAGAAAGAAGATGACGAGGATCGATATACCGGGGCAGAGCACGGCATCACGCTGAAGCTCCTTCGAATCCTGCCACTCAATGAGAAGTAGCCGACACACCACGTGCCTTAAGGCCACTGCCTCTTCACGCTTCCGTCGCTGCAGTCTACGGTCCCTGCTTCTCGAGAGCGACAAAATACAACAGCAAGCAGCAAGCGAGTTAATGAACACACTGCTCTAGATGTCACAAACACGTCTAGCAGTTGTCAGCTTGCATGTTGCAAGGCTCCTGCGCAGGCAAGTCTCAGCCTGGGCGATGGGATTGTGGTGTGAAACTTCGGGAAAACTAACCGTTACTGATGCAGCATGCACAGAACTCAACATGAATCAGTTGCCAGTGTCAAACGCGAATCTCGGACGGCTGAGGCGGAGGGGAGCTCACCTTGAAAGCCGCAGGCCCCAGGCCACCCCAACCAACAACGGAGACGCCGGCGGCGCTGTCGCAGATGCCCGCCCGTGCTTGAATATATGACCTGCCGTGTGGAGAGCTCTTGGGATTTCCTGACCCTGCACGCTCATGTGCCTCGAGCAGGCCTAGCATAAATCAAGCATACGGAAACGTTGCTTCCTGTTGTCAGCTGGTGGAGTGCTGCTAGAAACCTGAAAGAGACTCGTTCTAAACCCCCGGCTCTGGACCGTAGACTAAGAGCGCACTTTACTATTTTGCTGCAGGTTTAGGACCTGCTACAACACCAGCACGGCGCAAGCGCGCGCAGCGTCGATCGCAAGGGCTAAAAGCAGCATAAGAAGCTACAAGTAAGTACCCAGGAGCTGAGAATGTGCTTAAAAGCGTGAGCGCGCAAGAGTGCGCAAGGGCCAAGCGCAAGGCGATTTTCGACTTGTGGGCTGCAACCATAATAAGGAACAACATTTAAGCCATGCGAGCTTCCCTGAAAGCATGGAGCACCATCGCCGTCTGGCAGGAGTGGGAATATTTCTGGGAGGAGGACTCCGAAGAAGAGGAATTCGAAGATGATCAGGTCATCGAACGATCTTCTGCTGAAATGTCCATCTGGCACAGCTGTAGGAACAGCTTCATGTAAGATTATAGAGCCACGTTCAGCTCCACTCTTGGTGATAGATGGTGGACGTGAGCCCGGCAACAACTCAAAGCCGTGGCCGAAGTGAAAGCTTGGCGACGACCTTATAATAGCTTCGGGCCCCGATGCATGTGTCATTTGTCAACTTCTTCTTGACAACGGCTTTCTCCACGGTTTTTTCTTGTTTATGGTTCCGTGTACAAGGCCTTCGGCCCCTTGGCCTCGCGGACATCTGGCGCTTCTCAGCGAACCTCCCGAACCAGCACGTCCCAGGTGGGCACAGATGCTTCGTGTAGTGTGCAACTTTCATGGTTCTTGTGTTTGAGGAATTCCATGTTCCCGCCACACAGCATGGATCAAACACGTCGTTACCGAAAACAACCCGCAGACTGTGAGCATCTATCTGTGAGCGCTACTGTATTGAGCACTTCGGCCAGTTGTCAGGCCAAGCAGTCAAAGAGTCAGTTGACACAGTGAGCTGGCTAGGGCGTGGACAGCTCAAGTGTTTGCCTCCGGACAGTATACAGTCTACCTGTACAGTGTCCAATCGATTGGGTCATGCAGCGTGTCTTGGTAGAAAGTGGCACCCGTAGACTTTCAAGGTGCGCTGAGTCCACACGATGCCAAGCGCTTACACGCCTCGAAAGCTGAAGCACAAAGCCTGAAGTAATCAGCGATCTCCTATACCCTACATTCTGTAATACAACATAAGCTACCAAACTGTTGATGTGCGAGGACACGTGCTTACGTGAATTGCAAGCTCACAGCCTCGGTTGCGATTTCGGCTTGGTTAAAATGTCAGGCCATGTACATATTTTTCCTGCTTAGAGGACCCGTCGCGGACCCGTCCAGTTCCAAGAAGTGGGCTTGTCTCTAGCTGAATGTATTTTGTGCTTTCGAAGATCTGGTGAAGGTTGAGATTGCAGATAGGTCCTCCTCGTCAACTTATGCTGAGAGAGTCCAGCTGAGTGGCGACACGCGCAGGTTGCAACCCGAAGCTTGTTAATGGCTTCCGTCAGGGGCAGAGACGACGATGCGAGAACATTTGCATCGAATGCTTCGAAGTGCGCTTAGCGGTTGCGGAGTAAAGGGCCGAAGCATGTCGAACTGTTTGAGACACAGCTTCTTGCTGCTGACCGATCGACCCACTTACATCATCGGATCAGCAAGCGGTGCCTACGCAGGCCTACATCTTCAGTTCAAGTGAGATCTGAGCAGCTGGACCTGATCATGGGCGTCTTGCGACAAATCTCCCCAATAGCTTAGCAGGACAACGACCCAGCTGCTAGGTTCATGTGACGGGCTGCAGACCTGCGAAATACGAAGAACATAATGGAGAGGCGGAGTAGCTTGAGAGATAAGCTTCGAACGACCGCTTCAAGCGCAGAAACATTGCTGGGCCATCTTCAGGAGCCGCATTTTGTGTTCCCAGTGTTGCTTGCGAGGACTGGCTGCATGTTGCGCGTCTTGCGGGCAGAGCACTGGTTTGTTGAAGAAGCTATCCCCTCTGCCTTACTTAGACTTAGATGTGCCAGCACCACAGGAAGTGTTCAAAGTGCATGTAGCTCTGCAGCTGACCAGCAATGGTATACGGACAAAGACCTAAGCCTTATAATGTATGACTCTATGGAATGCAGGGCATGTGTCCCTGCTTGACTGGAAGCGTTGCAGCTGAAAGCCGAACTGAAACCACCATTTGCCATCTTCTGGCTAGCAGTCTGACGTGCGCTGCGAGATGATGCAAGATGCACAGCCGCACTGATGCAAACAAATGGCAGCTCTACCTGCAGAGGCGACTCGTAGCGGCTCTTCACTTGAGTTTCTGGCTTTGTGCATCCGTTTCGGCGGGCTTGCTTGAACTGCTTCAGCTTATGCGCGCGACGCGTGGTCAGGCCCAGCACCTGGCCAGCCGTGCGCTGCGGCCCTGGCTGGCGCGGGCCGCTCGTCGGCCGATGCCGAGGGGCCGGCCAGGAAGGCACTGGCGGTCACTGCCCTCGGAGCTAAATTAGCCCAGACACTAAACCCCTGGCAAAGGCCTGGTGGTCAAGGGCCAGCTGAACTCTGGCCTTTCGGCTGCGGAGTGCGGGTAACATCTCTGCAATGCACTCACTCTGCCATTGCCGGTTGCCATGCTCTCTTAGTCTTGCTCGCCCGTCTCCACCTTGCATTGCCTGGAAGGTTTCAGCCGCACGAGACCAGCCAGCAGAGCCCCATGCTGACCGAGTCTGAGATGGGGATGTCGCCCAACGCCAGGACCGGCTCTAAACATGAGAGAGTACGATTCAACATTTAGGTTCGTTCGCGCAGAAGCAGCCTGTGTGGATAACAGCAACAGAGCTGGTGGCACAACTTCTTTGATAGATTTTGATAGCGTTTGTGTTCATGAAACATCGTGGGGCAGTAGCAGTTCGGCCGATTTAATAAGCAACGGAGAGTCCAGTACCCTACTGTGTTTGTTTAGGCTTCGAGCGGCCGCTTGTTGCGTGTGTTCAACAGTGCACAAGATTATCGGCCTGAGCTGCAGCAGTCGATAACAATCAGCTGGATTCATGAGCTCAGCAGGTCTTCACACGACCAGGCCCTTGCTGCCGGAGATGTTTGGCAGTTCTGAAGTGCATATGTCTTCCGCTCATGTTGGGCTGCAGACCTTTCAGAGAGGCACTCAGTCTTGACAGCAGCCATTGTGTCATATGATCGGACCGATTTGTGTCCTTCTCCGTCCTACTCGAGGCCTCCGCAAAGTCGGCTGCAGCCGAGCGCGCCATCGCGCTCCAAGAGCTGCGCCGTGGCTCCGTGGCGCCGGGTGTGCCTTGCCGTCAGCCTTGAAGTGTAGCTTTTGCCAAAAATTCCAGCACGTCTCGAGCTGTGGACCCGCATGTTGATGCTTTGTCGCGACGCTGCTTTCGTGATGCCCGAGATGCTGGCTGGAATGCCTCGAAGGTTCTATACAATGTAGCAGTTAGTAAGTATAGCTCGATTTGAGGCTGGAATGCCTCGGAGGGTTCTATGACATAGTAGTTAGAGTTAGAGTAGGTTATAGACTTCAGAGAGAGCCGACTTTCCCGGGCAATCCCAGAGTTCGAAGGTCCAGGCGCTGCCAGTGGTTGGCCGTGCCCGCATGAGCCGCAACAGGTCGTCCTGTCCGCTTACTTCATTCTCGTGCGCCACGGTACGTGCTGTCCTCAGCTATCATGGACCTCAGATTGACATTTGCAGAAGCAGCTCCTGTGCACATGAGCACTCTCATTGGAAGCCTGTAATGCAGGACGCTTAGCACATATCCCGGCAATGGTATGCGTGGTCAGGTCGCTGGGTGCTGCAGAGGCTGCAGAACTTTGGGAAACCCTCAGGGCAATGCCCACCAGGCTCGCAGAAGGAATCTGCACTGAATCCGTGAAATCCAAGCTCCCCAATCCACTGGGCTTACTCTACTGACGCGTCGTTACCAGCACGTGCAAATCGAACTGGACATCCGCTATGCAGGGAGACGCTGCCGCCATTGCTCAGGACTGACATGTGTTGCCTCACGTCATTGGTTCCAGAATCCGGCATGTACCACAAGGGGAAGCAGCACCAAACGTTGGGGAGCAATGTATCATCGGTGCAAAGAGGCTCTCTGGACGGGAGCTTTGTGACACCCTCTTCGTCCTTGCTGCAGCGCGCGGCTTCAAACGGCACGCAGAGGTTGCACAGGAGGCACGTAAATCGTTTCTCCTCTATCCGGCCACACTCAACGGTACAAGCCAGAAGCAGAAAGTTAGTCGAATAAGGGTATCGCCGTATCGCAACATTGCAGTGCGTGAACACAAAGTCGCCCTAGCCCAAGTCGTGGCTGCTGCTGCACCTGCTGCTCCTGCTGCTGTTGCGCCAGCGCAGTCCATCACTGACCTTCAGGTGGCAATGGCTTTGTGCTCGCACTACGAAGCGTATCTGTCCGAGTTGCAACTATGGCCTCAAACACTTCCCCTTGTGAGCGTGCCTTGGCCTATCCTGAGCATTGTAGCGTAAAGTTGAGAAGGGTTGAGACGGACTAAGGTGCTGCTTGAGGTACCTCTGCTTACCAGCCACCAGGTTACGATTTATGTATGGTCTGGCCCGGTCCCAAAGTCCAGGATAGACATCAACTGTAGCTGAGGAGGCAGATGCATGCCCGGCGTGTCAGTGCGCTGCCAAAGATCGTTGGTTAGTCGAGTAGAGGGGAAGGCGAAGAGGCAGAGCAAAGGCAAATCCCAGACCACGGACCTTCTCAGAATGATACAGACAGAATCGTTCTCCCGAATCCGGAACGATAAAAGGCAATGTGAGCAAAGATACCCCCACTCCGGGATGATGAAACCATGATGATTCAATGATGATACACAAATCTCTAAATAATAAATGATAAAACAATAATAAATGATAAAACGATACAAATGATTTTCGGCCTCTGGCCTCTGGAATGTTATTTTGCCCCCCCCCCCCCCCCGCCCGGACCCCGCCCGCTCGGCACTGTGCCCCGCAGCTCCCACCTGCAGGGCATGTTACCAGTCTCGAGTTGTTTCGGTGTGCGGCTCGTGCAATCCCGTCAGTCAAGAGCTTCCACGCACAAGAAGGGTTTCTGTAGTGCTCGCAACAGTTTTCGTTTTGGCAAGCATCTCGCAGCAGTGAGCTAGGGCTGGACAGTTTGCACTGGAGTTCTTCACACGGATTTTGGCTGGTTTGTCTCAAAAACCGAAGTCAAAAGAAGAGAGAGTTGCCAGACGAATTCATGCTTGTGATGTTTGCGCCAGCCACCAAGGAGTTCTTGGCATGGCATTGCCGAGTCTTGGTTGCAATTGTCAACAACATGAACTTCCGTACACAGAATCTGTGCATGAAGGTGATGGGCGTTTGGTGCTTACGTGTTCTGTCCCAACATGTTCCAACCATAGCGAAACTCAAGACAACGCCGTTCGATGCAGAGACAGCCTCCATTTTGGCAGGAGACAGGGGGTTGCTTAGCAACTTCCTACTGACGGTGCTGGTGCCATTTTGGCGACAACACTCGGCCAGCGCCGCACAGCTGAACTGGCCCAAGTTGTGACATGTCGTGTTCACATCACGTATCACCTGGAATTTCTGAATCCTCCAACAAATCCAAGACTGAAGATTGCTTTCCGCATGCATGAGTCTTCCTTGGAAGTTCATGCTTGGGGGCCAGCGCTTTTGCCCAGCCCGAAGCCTGGACTTTGCCTCAGGTCCAGGCGGCCCTTGTGCCCCATCATGCGCAGGCCGTGTCTGCAGCCTGTGCTCGCTGCGGAAGGCCGGCCAGTTTTTGCGAGAGCAGAGGGCCCTTGCTTGCATTCTGCCGCCAGGGCATTGCCTCATGACGTCCTGCAAACTGTCCGCAGCACCTTGTGCACCTGGACTGTTGCCAATATTTCTCAGCTGGGCCCCCGTGGCACCGCAGGCTGGAATGGGTCTGCCTTTTCGGCTGTTTATCACGGCAGTGAGACTGGCACATGAAACCGTGCCTAATTGCCATGCAAGCCTTCCTTGATATCCCTTGCATTTCATCTTCTGTTACACGATATCCTCTGAAGAACCTACTCGCTGGTGAATTGTGTTGAACGTGTCATCTGGTCTGTGAAGGTATGGCTCTGGCACTGTCGAGAGTAGGACCGTCGATCGGCTTATTGCCCTTGCACGTGGACTTTGTTCAACGGTCAGATGACTGCACTGAGCCTGCCTTATGTGCACACGTTAATTGTATTGGCTGACCATCACGACGGAGTCATTGCTCGGCGAACTCTTGTCACAAGCTTCAACCGCTTCCAAATTGGAAGGACCCGGCTTAGCTGGTGAGGACCCGGTCGTGCTTGATGCAGTAGCTGCTGTGGTTCAACATTCGCTGTCATATAAGTGGCTGCGATACCGGCAAGGGATGTTTTTTTGATCACTTCTTGGCCACTTACAAGCTGAGTCCCGATGACACACAGAAAGCTTTCGAGCATTATTCATACTCGCAGCATATCCAGTGAACAAAGCCTGTCCAGGATGCCAACGCGGAGCTCTTGGCCATGCTGGTACGTCGTGCCGGTCAGCTCTTGAAGGCACTTGAATTCACCACTGCTGAGAAACAAGCTGCCTAACGAACCCCTTTTAAAAGAGCAGGAATTCTTTGCATGTAACATATTGGAAGGAGGCGGCTGAAGGCACGTCGACGACGAGGCGTGAGCTGGCTTAGACTAGTTGCAAGAAGCTGAAATCTCGGGAAATTCATGGGCAGCAAAGGTCCTTTGGATGACAAGGCAACGACGGCTCTGTTGCTATGCCAACCATTAAGGTCGGACCTAGCTCCTAGGTCCATAAACACTCGCTCTTGTTCCAGTGCCAGCATTCTGAGCAAACAGATAGGCCATGGTAATTAGGTGATAAGGCCGTGCATCTGCGTTTGGTGCACATCCCTTGCGGAAAGCTATTGTGAGCATCATGTTGAAGACCGCGGATGCTGTGAGCCTGTCGCCTCACAGAACCATCAATCGACCTGTTTGCAGCCGTAGTTGCAGTCTTCTGAGGCCAAGCTAGACTTAGACGCAAGGCGAAGACGATGCCTTCTATGCAGAGCTCAACTACAGGGCATGAGCGCAAGCTTCAACAAGTAGTCGGTTCATGTTATTGAAACGGCATCTTTGCTAGCTGAGACTGGTTTGCCGGGCCAACTCCTCCTGCCAGGTTTTCAAGCCGCTCACGTCAGCAACTTGTCACTATGCTTAGGCCGTGCCTCTGCATCTTGTGATGCATAATAAAGAGGTGCAGTTCTTTCGCCCGGACTGGCTTGGCATGTTCCTGAGCGCCCTGGCCCGCGGCCGTTGCCGCGAGGAGCTGGATACCTTGAGGCCACTGGGTTCAGGGAGTCCACTCTGGAGTCCGAGCCCAAGCTGCCAGAGGCGCTTGCTGGAAGCACACCTCCTCCCTCGGCAGCGAAGCTTCCCGGCTGGCACGGGCTCGTGGGAGAAGCAACCCCCTTCGATGGTTGATTACGTAAAGCTCCGGCACTCCGAAGGAGAACAAAAGACTTGGGGCCCCCAGCCTGGCTTGTCAGGCCGCCTGGCCTTCGAGCCACAGAACTTGGCCCTCGCCGCCAATGCCGTGCTGAAGCTGGACTGGCACTGCTAGAACTGAGGGAGAAAACCAAGAAGAGATGCAGCGACTGCGAGAGGTAAACACGCTCCCGGTACCAGAGTTTCGGGAACAGCTGTCGATATGCCCCTGGCCCCTGCATCTCTTACTGTTACTTGCAGCTCACTGGCAGGACCTCCTCAGACTACGCCTTGGTGGTCCAACACCACTGGCCGCCCTTGCCCCACTGGTGCGCCGTGCATGAGACTTCTCCGCAGTACGGAGGGTTCGATATCAGCTGGAGCATGGACGTTCTATATAAATATAGGTGCTTGTCGCATGTGTCGCTGCAGCTGTTTTAGTACATAAACTTTGACGAGCCATATGACAGACCCGGCACTCGGACAGTGCCTCAAGAGTCGGCACTCAGCGGCGTTGTCTGAGCTATGAGCCGACGATATAGTTGGGACTTTACTGAACGGTTTCCATCTATTTTCATCGAAATCGCAAGCCTCCTCTCATCGAAACCGCTGTCTATTTAGAAGCAAACTGGACACCCGTGACTGCCATGTCTTGCCAGACTTATATTATACACAGATCCGTTTAGCCGCAGTCTTATCTGACACAAGCTTACAAGAATCACTAACTCAAGCTGTGCAAATCATAGTTCGTTCTGACACAGACGAGCAAAGACACGTGATTCCAATTCAGTGTCACCAAAATCCGACTTGGAACAAGGTAGAACATGGCAGGTTTCCATGTCGCACCGAAAGTCGAGTCCCAAAATCACAGCTTCCTGCCATTTCTGACCAAAGTCGTAAGCGAACTGGAAGCAGACCAGTAATTAAAAGCGCGGCCATTTCTCACCGAAGGCGTAGTCCAATTTGACACCGACTAACAATTCCGGAAGTGAATAGAAGCGAGCAAACATTTCCGATTACCGGCCATTCCTCACGGAATCCCGTGTCAAGAAGACGAGCGGGAATGGCGCATTCCAGTTAATTCCCACCGACATCGCAGTTTGGTTCGACAGCTAAGCCTTTCGCATCGAATGGTGAGCCTCCAACACGATGTGGCTCTTCGGACAGAGACCACGACTAGCTTCAATGAGGAGTTGTTGTTTTGCGCTATGTCCAGGTATTGCCATGGAAGGGGAGGGAGGTGCCCAATCCGCTGCTTCTCCGCACCACAGCGCAACACCGTGGTAGGATTTTCTCCAGACAGATCCTCACTGCAAACGAGGCTTGTCTGCTGGCCCATGCCTTCGGCAGCGCCTTAATGATGCTGCCGATGCCGCCAGCCCCGACCGATCTCGTGCCACTCACGCAGGCTTGCTGAGATTAGGTTGTCTCAGGAGGACCACTACTCCCGTGCTGCTGATGCCCACGATCCGCGTGCCCTCTAGGTCTATGAGACGGTTCTCGGAGACCTCTTCACTCAGATCATCTCTTTGCAGCTTCTGCAGCTTGACTGAAGTCGGCACCAGCTGTCTTCGGAGATTCGACGGTCTGGGTCGAGACTTTGAGACCTGCAGAATCCGTCAAGATCCGAGGAACATCCGTGTGCGCTTCCAGCTGCTGTCCGCCGTGCCTCGACCTTGCCTGCCGGAATTGTTGTCTATTTTTGCTACAGCGGCTGCTTCCGGTACTACTGGTCTTGCCGCTGCAAGACCAGAAGCTGCTTCTGACGCCATTGCTCCGCATCCCAAATAATCCACCGCTTGTGCGAGTACTAGTGCAGCGAATGCTGCTAATATCTACTGCTGCTACTACTCTGCTGTGCTTGTTCTTTAAATACTAGAAACATTTTTCACAATTATTGTTGCGATTTTTGCTCTTACTTAACAATTCGTATTGTTATGATTATTCTTGTTAGTAGCATTCCGAGATACTTAACTGCTACTTTTAACATTTTCAGTAATAGTGCTATTATAGTTTATCTCTACTGCGACTGTTCCTACTGCTGCTTGCTGCTGCTGTTGCCGCCCCTTGTACCCGACGTAGCGGCTATGAACTCTCTTGAAATGTTGAAATGGATTGCTGAGTTCACGGTCTGCCAGTCACTGTCCAGCATCTCACGTCTTAGTCTGTATCAGAAGCGAGTGACACAACCCGAGATGAGGCCATTTACTACAATTTACTCGTTTTGTCGTTTTCTTGCGAAGGACTCCGGGGTTCCACTCGGGAATAGTCGAGTCATGTCGAGTCAGGCACCAGACGGATTGCAGTCGGAAGATCCATTGGGCGAGCGCTGATGCCAACTTAATTGCTGAGGTTCAGTGCTGGTTTTATGCATCGGAGTTGGGTGCAATGGCGTCACTGGCCTCGCTCCGACGTGCACAACGATGCCAGTCTCAAGTTGGGTCGGTGTTCCCAAGGCTATAAGCGATCAGTTTCGTGGGAGACACAGTGGGAAGATTCGAGGAGGAGGTCCTTAGCTTGGCACCGTATGTTCTGTGCACGCTATGTCAGCTATATGGAGCAAGTTTATGCACTTGGGCTATGTTCGCTTCATCTGAAGATGCTGTCCCCGGCCGACCCTCAAGCAAGCCTGTCGATGCTTCAAGGTGCTCTGTTGAAGGCTGGAGGAGAACTTCCGGGCCCAGCCGAGTCGCTGGGAGACCAGGCAGGTCGAAAAGCAAGGTCTCTTCAAGTACTGCCGATGCGAACGCCACGGGCAGGATCTGATCAGCACCAAGGGTCATGCAGAGGTTGCCGAGGCCTTGCCGGAAAACTGGCAGCTCTCGGCGCGCATGGAAGATTTTGCGTGGCCCAACTCTGTTGGTTGTCAACGAGGTCCAGCATCCATGTCTGCAGTGGTGTCATAGCTGCATACATCTGAGGTTTCCTTTCTGGCTGGACATTGTGTTGGTGCATCGAACAGAACCTGCCGCGAAAACAAGCATGCTTGGCAGCTTGCAGCCAAAGAACAATGTCACACCATGCCCCAGCACCTTTGCAAAAAAGCATAGTCACGCACGTGTGAGCATCTAGGCTTGGTCGATGCATTGGTGGAGAGCCGAAAGCCTTTGCAAGAACCCCTTTTTCCCGCAGACCCCGCTGCCTCTCCGCAAATGTGGCCACATCGCTTCAAGGTTAGCCATGGCTTAGTAGAAAACGCACGTTCTGCCAACCCGACGGCAAACCGTCCAATCACACACCAATTGACAGCCCTCCAAAGAGCTAGCAAAGACTCACACCGTCGAGCAGATCTTCAAACGTCTGCGCTTCATGAAGGTTGGAAGATCTGTGGCCGTGTTGGTGGGCAACTAGAGCCAAAAGGCGACTGCAAGGGCAGCTTCCTCAACTTGGATGACTCAGCAAGCACCCGTAGCGCTTCGCGGTGATGCACTAGGGTAACTACAACACCACTTCAAGCAATGTGGCCACGCTGCAATGTGCTTGCCTATTTTCGACATCCCCATTGCACAGTGCACGCTGCCGCTTGTCCGCAGAGTCCACACGATGGACACCGAATGGTTCCGTGGTCTAAACACGCTATAGCGGAGGATCGATGGTGATTATGTGTCCGTTTTTGTCTCTACGCTTGCAGGATGTTGCAGGTTTCGATTGCAGCAGTCCATATCCTATAGTGCAGACTGCGTTTTGGCGGTTCAGACTCTGGTGTCGCCAGTCATTGTGCGCAACTTCCAATCAACTCTCAGTCAGACTTGACCTGGACAAGCCCTGTGCCGTGGGCCAGGTCTCGATTTCGCGTCGGTGGTGGCGTCGCCGCAAGTGGCTTTCAGATCAGACACAGATATACTTCACCGGTCCTTGTCGAGGTTCTCCAGCAGGCAGAACCGGTATTTGTGGCGATGGGGTGCCAGTGCTCGGCCAAGTCACAGGGACGATGATGCCATAGCCTGGGACACATGTTTGGTGCTGCAGTCTTACCCCAAGACTCCTCGACTCAGAACCCCATGCTTGGTAGACTAGGCCACGGGAATGGTGCGTCAGAGGCTTGGTCCTTGCGCAGCCTCGCAGAGCACATGCATCACGCTGAATGCTGTCGCCAGTATGCGCATCATGACTTTGCTTCCATGTGCTTCTTGTTCGGAAGTATGGTGGGAAGAAGACAGTCGGCCAAGGCCGGAATCTTCGGAACCTCAGTTGGTCGAGGAGGTAGCCGACAGAAAGCTGAGATGGGTGACCTCCATTCGCCGGGAGAGAGGGTAGCGAAAGAGTGGCAGTGCTCGGAACGTAGTCCTTGTGCTTCAAGGTGGTGTTCCGGTCCTGGAATCCACGAACAGCCACCTCCTGAAAACCAACTCAAAGGTAATCCATCAATTCGTTTTCAACGGCGAGTGACTGTGTACTACTACCCTTGCTGCGACTACCACTTCTACTACCGTTACGACGACGACGGTGACGACGACGACTACAACTACTACTACGACTACCACTACCACTACCACTATTACGAGTGCTAGTACCACTACTACTACCACCACAACCACAAGCACTGCTAAGCACTACTGGCACAACTACTAGCACCAGTACTAGCTATAGTTCCAGTATCAATGCCGGAACGCGCTGCGCTGCTCCGCAGTGCCCGAGAGTTCCCAGCATGATCAGGTTCGAGGTTCACAACACACCTGAAGAACCTTGCATCAGTCACGATACCTGAGCCGGGCGCAGCTTGTCGGACTCGCGCAAAACTCGTCACAAAATATTTCAACTTGGCAGGCCCGTGGTGTCACAGCTGCTTCGTGCGGCCCATCCCACTCAGCGACGCCCTCGGATAAGTTGTGTTAAGCTCGGGCTTGAGGTGGCCAGACATTCCACGAGCTGTTGTTTCAAGCATTCCAGCTCGCAAGACATCTGAAGATGTGAAGCTGACAGAGTCCATGCTAGCCGAGTCTTCCGAAGCTCTTGTGGGGGGGACCAGGGTGTGCCACACAGTGGAGTCCAGCATGTGCTGCATCATCATCGTTGCCGCTCTAGGCTTTCGTCATGGACGGCAGGCGGGTCGTACAGCTTTACCTCGCAACGCAACCGAACAGGATCGAGCAGGTAACTGCGACAAAGCCAGGCTCTACACGTACGGCTCCAACCGTCATGGGAAACTTGGCCGCGAGGCACAGTGTCGGTAGTCTCTGCTTGAAGTTGGAGGTACTGCTCACGAATTGATGTTTGCCAGCACTGGAGGAAGAAATTCCCAGGGTCAGGCGCTGGGCTGAGGTTGTCAAACCTTTTGGGGCCCGATGACCCTTTCGGTTTCGAATCCTCGAGCGTAAGTGGCTGCTCAATGTCATTTCAGAGTCTAGAGTTTGATTATGTTCGAGTGTGTGGATGTAACCAAGGACCGGCTGAAGCTAAAGACACACCTGAGTGTGTCTTGACGGGGGGGTTGGGGTTAATGTACGCTGGGAGCACGATCTAATGCACATTGAGTTCTGATTTCGGCAGCAAACGTTATGTGTGTATAGGTGGCCTAAGAAGGCGTGGCATTGCCATGTCAGCACAATAGGCAAAATCGAAGCAAAACAATCGATCAGCACATCTCGGCGCGGCTGTTGACAATTGCATGGGATGCAGGATTGGGCTGCCTGAGAAGTAGCTCCAGTGTCCGCCAGCACGAACGTCGCGCATCGACTTCTGTGCCAAATCTGCCAGCGGCACGGCCCAGGCTCGCATGAAAGTCGTGACTATGGAAAGCCAAAGCTAAAAAGGCAAGTGCCTGACGAAGAAAGTCAGCAAGTACAAAGCAGAAAACACAGGCAAAGCCAGTGCCACAAGCTGTCATTTGACTGGCGCTGCATATCGTCTCTTTTGGCGGCTGTCCGCATCCTGTTCCACTATGCGGTTCCATACAGCTGCCTGCGGAGTCGCGCGGGGTTTGCTAACTCAGTCAGTCACGGAATGCCACATAGCCCCGATTCACACAAGCCAAGGCTACACATATAGGGTGAGTAACGTCGCTGGTCCAGTCAACAGTGCAGGGCGACGGTGTCCTGCAAGAACCTGGCCCTGTAAGCCTGCAGGCAGGGAGTGTGTGGGATGCCAGCCTGAAATGACTGTCAGTATGTTTGTACTTTCGCAGCTATGTAGGAGTCTACGCATCTGTGCCTGTATGCATGCGGCATGTATGGATCTACGTGTGTAGGCTTGTAGGTTGTATAACAGTATGTACGCATGTACGTGGCATGCATGTATGCATGTGTGTATGTATGTATGCATGTATGTATGCATGGATGTATGCATGGATGTATGCATGGATGTATGCATGGATGTATGTATGTATGTATGTATGTATGTATGTGTGTGTGTATGTATGTGTATGTGTGTGTATGTGTGTGTATGTGTGTGTATGTGTGTATGTATGTATGTATGTATGTATGTATGTATGTGTACGCATGTATGTATGTATGTATGTATGCATGTACGTATGTATGTATGCGTGTATGTTTGTATGTCTGTATGTGCATGTGTATTCGTATTTGTGCGCTAGTGCGTATGCACATTTGTAGCTGTACGTGTATGTTTGTGTGCACGGATGCGTGTACGCATGTATGCACACTGCACGCATGCACGCGTTCCTGTACGTGTAAGCGAACGCACACATGCATGCATGCCTGCGCGGGTGCAAGCATATACCTTCCTGCATGCACGTTTGTGAATGAACGCATGACTGACTGGCTGAATGTCGGATGAATGAGTCTGAATCAATGGGTGCATGACTGAATGATTGCATGAATGAATGAAATGAGATGAAATGAAATGACATGAGTCAATGAATGAATGAATGAATGAATGAACCAGTGGTTGAATCATTGAAAGAATCAACGAAGGAACGAATGAGTGAAGTGGAGTGAAGTGAAATGAAGTGAGACGAAATGAAGTGAATGGGTGGAGCGAATGGAAGGAAGGAATGAATGAATGGAGTGAAACGAGTGAGTGGAATGAATGAAATGAATGAATGACTGCATGATTGCAAGGAACGGATGATAACTTTGGATACATGGAATGAATGAACTGAATGAAACAGAGGAACGGAATGGAATGGATGGAGGTTTGAATGAACTGAATGAAATGGATGAAATGAATCAGATGACAAGATGAATGCATAGATCAGTTGGGGAGTGGGTGAATGAGTGAAATAATATGAAGAATGAATGAAACGAATGAAATCATGAGCGGAAGGGAAACAACCAATGAACACGTGAATGAGTGGCTGAATGACTGAGTGTCATGAAATACATGAGCTATTGCAATGAGGTGGCATGTAATGAAAGAAAACAAGGAACGCATGAAGGAGTCGGTGAAATGACACGAAGTGAAATGACATGATTGACGGATGGATGGATGGATAAATGGATGGATAAAAATGGATAAATGGATGGATGGGTGGATGGATTCATGGATGGATGACAATGAGTGAATGGATGAATGATTGACTGTTTGATTGACTAGGTCAGGTAGGTAGGTAGGTAGGTAGGTAGGTAGCTGCGCCCGGCCGTCTATGTATGCCACACAGAGTGAAGCAATGAGAGGACATGATCAGCAGCTTTGCTTGCCATGTAGGGCTCGCAATAGTTTTAACTCTCAGGCCCCGGATGGTCACCAGCCCTTTCCACAGTCCATCTCTTTGGGAGGCCAAGAGCTTGGAAGCTCGTTGAAATGCCTTGCATCTCGATGTTGCAATATTCACTACAAGAACAGCTCAGCTGCATCTAGCTAAGGCAACCACTCCGCTGTCATCACGGAAGGTCTGAGTCTTAAATCGTGTCTGACCGCAGAAACATCGAAGTCGGAGCACGACTGGCCAGAGCAGACCATGTCAAGATATGGAAGGCTGGATTCAAGAAAGCGCGATGTGCTTGATGTCTATCAATCCCGACAGCTATCAAGGCGGCGTGCTCTGGACCTGGGGATACGGTCGGCCCAGCTCTTGAGCACACACTTTTTGGGGGAACCGTTTGATTGCATTGCATGGCTGTCGGCTTGATGGTTTGGCCCATGCGACTCTCAACAGTCTTGTCGAGTGGCCGATGTTCGATGACAGTTGCAAGACGAAAAAGTGAGACCAACCTATGTGTTCGGTAGCGCAAAGGGATACAACGACACGCAGCAGAAAGATTGGTCGTCAGCAGGTGGCAGCTTCTGGTACGGCGGTGGCGCCCTAGGCATCGCATGTCTCCGCCATATCTGGGCACCTGAAGCAATTGTGCCACGTGCTTTTGCAGGTCTTGGCAAACGCTCGGAGGTCGACAGCACGGGTCCTAGAGTCCTAGCAGGACGGATGCTGTCAGCATCGCACTTGCAACAAAAGAAGTTTGGCGGCATCTATTTCCAGCATACCTGCCGAGTAGAAGTCGGAAAGACCGGAAGTACCGGCAGCACCCTTCACTACATGGTTATATATATATATATTATATTGAAGTTTTGGGGATATAAGAGCATTGACCCAAAATGATGTACAGGTGCTTGTCTTCGACAATACAATCGCGATGTGAGCGTAAGGAGCGGATGATGCCATGCCGTTGCAACAGATTCGAATATGCTTTGGCAATCATCCCGCGATTGCACATTAGGCCCCGAGATGGTCATGAGCTTCGTCAACCACGGGATGGAAGTCGAGCAGGTACCTGCACCCTTTCCGTCTCTTTTGGTGTTCTTCTGGTCTTCACAGTGTCGAGGCTGGTCAGCCAGGCTTTTGGCCAAGGGCCTGCTTCCCACCCCTCAACACCTCAGACTCGCGCAGCTCACGATCACAAGCATGTTTCAGGAGACTGGTTGCCTCTATGCAGATGAATGCAATGCACAACGCAGCCGGGCTGGATGACACGGCAATTGAAGCAACAGCAAATCAGCGTCTCATGACCTGCAGTTTTCATGCTTTGTCCATTCGTAAGTCTGCTGTACTTCTGATGCCACATAAGTTCGAGCGCGCCTTTGCGCGCGAGAAACTTTTCGGAAAGTCAAGCCCATGAGCTGTTGGAACGGCCGTCGACTCCGTCGACGGTTCATTCTGGCGGTGCCTCGATGGAGAGTGTGGGTTCCGCAAGAGTTCGGCAAGTTGTACCTGTGCGCGAGCATCAGAGACTATTTTGTCCCTTGCATGGAAGACTGCCAGTCCGGCAGCTTCAACGGTGGAAGTCATGACAGCTCGGGGCAGTGAGCTCCTGAAGAAATCTGGGAAGTTTTGACTTGTCAGGTTGCTTCAAGGAAGAACTCGGAAGCACTTGGAGCTCAAGCCACATAGCTAGCAATGCGAACATTCAGGTCGGCGAGGGCACATAGGCCCCCTGCATCTGTGATTGTAAGAAGTGCGGAAATGACTAATTAAAATATAAATGCACACCGCAGTCGCCACAACAGCGGTCAAGCTAAGCCATCGTTTGTCTTGGTTTTGCATCCTTGCTTTTCCAGATTGGACATGAAACACACTGGCAGCGCAAGTAACCATCGCTGGAGATGGATTCAGAATGGTCCCTGGCTTTGTTTTCTTTAGTTAGCAGTTCGCCTCGCCATGTAGTCGCTCCCTTCAGCAGACATGGTTTTGCAGCTGTTTGGTTGCAGAACTATTCCTGGAAGCCTGGCGCTGCACTAGGGGCATCACCTAGTCAAGCATGGAGCCTGGAGAGACCTCTTGCCAGTGGCAGCCACGAGCTGTTCTGCGGGTGTTTCTTCCTCTGCTTATGCTGGTTTGCATAGGCAGAACCTATCTCGCAGACAGCCGACTCTCTTGGGGTATGGCGGTGGTCCGAGGAGAGATGAAGCGTTTGGCCCCTGCGCAAATCTTCGATTTGATGGGGCAACTGAGTACCGACGAGAACGGGACTCTGCAAGCGCCTTCAATCGCCAATGCTGCCGTAGAGACGACTCGAATCACCGTCCCTAGCTTCCAAACAACCCTTTCCCCGCAGCAACCTTCTGCCACATCAATCTCGGCATCCCCATCAAGCACAAGCATCATACTGGTGCCTACAACCAACCCCACCTCCACCACATCCACGCCTGTGCCGGTATCCAAACCAGCGCTCTCCAACGACATGCCTTCTGTGTTTTTCCTGGCTGATCAGCAAAGTTTGCTTCGCAGCAACACCAAGTGCCCGCCAGAAGTTCGTGTCAGCGAGTGGAACGGGAGAATTGGCAACCATTTCTTTCAGGTGAGCCAAGCCATTGTAGCAGCCCTTTTCTGCCACATTACGCGTGTCAAATTTCCTCCACATATCAGCACACGCTACCAGCAGCAGGATGGTTTGCTGGACATGCCTGAAGAGCTTACCTTGCCGGGGGTCGACCGCCATGAAGAGTTGAAAGTTCCAAACAGCTGTCCCAAGCAGCTAACTCACAAGTGGTATCACCAGCATTGCCAGATGGTACCCGCATGGCACCACCAGCAGGTAATGCACAAATTTCTTTGGCCATACCTGGGTCAGAACCTTACAGACCTGGTGCATTCACCGCAGGAATCTGCAGCCGACGGTGTTCTGACAATCCATTTGCGTGCTGATGATATTCGACAGTATGGCAGGTATGAGTGGGCCCAGCCACCCTGCAGCATGTATCAGAAAATCATTTCCGATTATGGTTACAAGACCTTGATGGTCGTAGCAAAGAGCAATCCTGTGACGCGGCGCTCGGATGCTGCTTGTGACAGCTGGCTGGTGGACTATGGGCGTTTACATGGCATCAAAATTCTCCGGCCAAAGGATATATCCTTGGCTGGCGAGCCTTGGCCAAAGTAAAAAGTAGTCAGACAATTGATCAGATGCGGGAGCTGCGATTCTGGGCCAGTGAGTTGCGGGCAGCAGTATTCTGCTTCTATTGAGACATGCGTACCGAAAGCCCAGGATTTGGCGACAATGATTCGTGCGAAGAAGCTTGGCATTGGAAAGTGGGGAAGGTTTGGTCCTTACAGTCGAAGCTCATGTTGCACTCACTGGATTTCCGTGTTCCCAGGCGAATGCAAAGTGGCAGTAGAATGCAAACCTACAGGTTCTGGATCTCCTTGCGGACTCTGCGTGATGTTGTGTTGGGTTGCGATGTCCGCACAAGAGCTAGTAGTAAGGCGAGAGCACTCTCGGCGTGGATCTGCTGTCGAAGGAACCGTTAAGCACGAGTTTAAGGCTTCAAAGCAAAGAAGTCTTTGCCCTGCTGTGACAAAATAGTTAGCTTTCAATGCGTTTCTGCAGTTGATTCCGTCTCGGGACATGCCGAAACGAATAGACCAAGCAACGAAGCTTTGAAAAAGCAGTGCTGGGACTAGGAATTTCGTGCTGTCCTTCTCCAGCTTTTCCTTGTCGACCGCGCTGCTCAGCAACGACCTCCAGGTCAGCCAACCTGCCAACCTGCCACACGCGCAAACATCAGCCCGGTGAGTGCTCACGTGTTCCTTTTAGTCAAGGAGGTGGGCACGAGCTTTGGATCTAGCTATCCAGCTTCTCAATCCGCACATCCGCTGGCGTTTCTTCAGTCTCACACTGGTAACTGTAGAGCCTGCAACCTGTGCCTTTTGCAAGCGGCAGGTGATGTACCGTCGGCGTGACGCGAAATGGCATAGCATATTGCACGCCATCGTGAACTGCAATGCTCCTCGGCAACCGGGGCAGGCAAGTGGCTTGCCATGGTAGCCAGTCCAGGACTCTTCCAGCACACATGTACACATGTGCCATGTTTCTGTTGCAACGGGCCATAACTGGAAACGACACGATGTCGTTCATCTCAGGTGTGGACAGGCGTCACCCTGTACGAGTACAACACAAGCCTGCAAGAAGAACGGAAAGGTTCGCCAAGCGAGTGGTTGAAGACCTTCCCCTTAGATCAAATCACTGGGCCTTTCACTTGTCAATACGGCAGTGATATCCAGCCAGAGATATAAGCTTGAGAGCCGCTCGCTTCGATTGTTAATGCACAAAAAGTGTCATGGATCTTGTGAAGCCCGCGCGGGAAAGCGGGAAGCCTCGGCAGCTTGGATCCAAGAATCTATTCTTCAAACCCTGCCTGGCCATGTCCGAGAGCGAGCTTCAAAAATCGAGGATACTGCGAAACTTTGGATGTTCTTTCGTGAGGTAGCTCACAGAGACGCAATTCATTCCTTGAGGCAACACCGTCACTAGTGTACTCTCTTCAAGAACCGGTTGCATGTTTTGCAGAGTGAAACTTCGGAAAGCCTTAGACTGAGACCATCCTTAGACCCCCACGTTAAGCAACCCATGGAGTCATGCACCAACTGCACCTGGTTTGGATTGTCCGAATGAGGTGTTTAGGAACGAATCTGCTGGCTGGGCGGTCCGTGAGTGAGCAGAAGTGCTTAGCGATATTCCATTGACGTGTGACTTGATTCGTCGTCGGAGGAAAAGGGCATCATTTTGTATACTTTTAGAGTCATCCAAACGAAAGGTCCCGGAGCAGGGACGTGGACGGAAGCTAGCATCACTCGCAAGTGCCCATGAGACTCAAGCTGAGAAGTACTGTGAAGAAAGATCTGGGAGCAGCGGTGCATCCAAAATCCTGCGCTGGTACTTGTTAGTTTTTGTCAGGTTTGCAAGTGGCAGGTACTGTTGGTTTTTGAATACGCCTTGCCCCGCAATGAGGCCACGGCCGACATTGTGCCATGTTTCTAAGGCTCTCGGCCTTGGCTTTGCACTTGCCGGGCTTGGCCGCACGATGGCTATGACGGCGCAGGTTGCCAAAGCTCGACAAGGTGCTGGGCCAGAGGATTACGTCCTTGCAGCTGGGCAGAAGCAGGTCAAGCATGCATTGTCACTTGCACACAGACGCCGAGTTGTGAGTGAGTTGTGAGGGTCGAAACGGAACCGCCCGTGCCCTCCCGACCGTCCCCATTCATTCGAGCAGGGTCAATGTGGCGTGGCAAAGCAACACAGCGACTTCAATAGGGCATGTAATGCTGCCTCCGGAGTAGCGTGCATTCCTGCCCCTAAGCATTTGTCAGACTCCTGAGTGAAGAGCCTGTCTCGAGTAATAGCAGTCGTTGTCGTCGCAGTCGCCATCGCACGGTCGATGTCACAGGCTTACAAGAAGAAGGCAAGTAGTAGTTAATATAAACAGCAGTAGTAGTTGTCGTCGTCGTAGTAGTAGTGGTAGCAGCAGTCAAAGTCTTAGTCGTAAACGTAATGTAGCAGTAGCAGTAGCAGCAGCAGCAGCAGCAGGAGCAGTAGCAGTAGCAGTAGCAGTAGGAGTAGGAGTAGTAGTAGTAGTAGTAGTAGTAGTACGTAGTAGTACGTAGTAGTAGTAGTAGTAGTAGTAGTAGTAGTAGCAGTAGCTGGTGTTGCTGTTGTAACAATAATCACAATAATGGCAGTAGTAAAAGTAACCGTCGTCGTGGTAATCGTAGTGCT